AACCCCAACACCAACCCCACCACCACCACCACCAGCACCAACCCCAGCAGCACCAACCCCAACCCCAGCAGCAGCACCAACCCCAGCAGCAGCAGCAGCAGCAGCAGCAGCAGCAGCAGCAGCAGGACCGCTGTTCAATATTTTTAAGTTTTACGTCAAATATGATGAGTTCTGGTTTACGTGAAATTTTTGTATTTTTAGCGAAAAATAAATACATAAAAGCGATAGTAACATCAGCAGGAGGAATAGAGGAAGATATAATAAAATGTTTAGGTTTTACTTTTGTTTCTTCTTTTTTATATTCAGGTTATAAACAAAGAAAAAAAGGATACAATCAAATAGGTAATCTATTTATACCGAATGAAAATTATTGTAAGTTTGAGGATTGGCTGCAGCCACAGCTAGACCAGCTGCTGCAGCAGCAGAAACAAAAACTCGCTGCTGCTGCTGCTGCTGCTGCTGCTGATGCTGCTGCTGCTGCTGTATATAAAGCAGCAGCAGAGAGTTCTGCTGCAGCAAATGCAGCAGCAACAGAAACAACAGCAGCAGCAGATGGAAATACAACAGCAGCAGCAGAAACAAATACAAATACAACAGCAGCAGCAACAGCAGCAGCAGCAGCAGAAGCAGCAGCAGCAGCAGCATCAGCAGCAATGGAGAATATAGATTTGAGTGAGGTGGTGATATCTCCATCCGAGTTAATATATTATTTAGGTTCATGCATAGACAAAACCCTAAAAAAAAAAGAAGAAAGTCTATTATATTGGTGTTATATAAATAAAATAAATATATTNTAGACAAAACCCTAAAAAAAAAAGAAGAAAGTCTATTATATTGGTGTTATATAAATAAAATAAATATATTCTGCCCGGGGCTCACCGATGGTAGTATAGGAGATAATATATTTTTTCATGCATATAGAAAAAAAGGTTTAGTAATAGATATAGCAAAAGATATAAAAAAAATAAATACACTCGCTGCTGCTTCTTGCTGCAGCGGTCTTATTATATTGGGGGGGGGGGCCCCTAAACACCACCTATGCAACGCACATTTGTTTAGTGGGGGTGCTGATTTTGCTGTTTATTTAAATACTGCTGCTGGCTTTGACGGTAGTGATTCGGGGGCCCCAATAAAGGAAGCAATCAGCTGGGGGAAGCTAAAAAATAAACAGCAGCAACAAGTTAAGGTCACTGCTGATGCTACGTTGACGTTCCCCCTGCTTGTTGCTGCTACTTTCGCGAAGAAACATCATGAACAGCTGCAGCAGCAGCAGCAGACAGCAGCAGCAGCAGAAAGAGCGGCAGCAGGAGGAGCGATAGAAGCTATAAGTTGGGGGAAGCTAAAAAATAAACAGCAGCAACAAGTTAAGGTCACTGCTGATGCTACACTGACGTTCCCCC